GGTGAAGTTCCACTTTAACATGATGGAGCAAATTTATAACACAGTGAACCTGACATTCAGGAAACATTCCCTGAAAGAATTTTCCAGATGCATGAGCATGCCACCAGTGAATGTTTGATGAAAGTTACATTTAGTTTTTTATAAATATAACCCATGTGTCATAAAAAAAAAATTCAAATATGACAGCGGCTTACAATTTTTTTGGCTGTTTCTGGGATTTCAGGCTGGGCATGCATATACTGTATAATTTTTTAACACTCAAATCACACCCAAAAATGTAATTTCCTATGCAAAAAGATAATCTAATCAACATTACAGTAAACTAGTGAAGAAACGTTTATAGCCAGTACCACTGCTTTCTTGTTTATGGAGGTGCATGTTCCTGTGCCATTAACTCAGTTCTGCTGAATAGGCATTCAGGTTCCCAGACTTTATGGGCTGCATGTTCGTTTTAGGCCAGTGATTCGCTCCCCGATTAGCCTAGCCTGGACTTCTAACTATCAGTCTTCAATAGCAGCTCCCATAATTCAATTCTCATGGGTCTACTTGAACCCCAGTGAACCCCTTAACCTAAAATTAATAAAATATAAGATTAATTTATACTATCAAAGTGATATAAAAATATGCTCATCTTAGGCTAAATAGGTCACAAAAAACTGAAAGACTAACAATTTTTAATGTGTCATATCATCTGCGCAGAAAAACCTGCAGTAAAATCTCCCCACCATATACGGTATTGCTAAGCATTCTTGTTGCCAACAAAACAGATTTGTTATAGGAATCAGGCTTGACAGTGACATTACAAATTTTACTTTTTGCAGAACCAGTCTTTAAATAAGGCTGCAGGAACAGGCAATAAATTGTGTTGTTATGAAACACTGACATTGACAGTATGTATTCAGCTATACATCTGCATCTAATGTACAGATAAAAATTCTTTGGCAACACCCTATAAAACACGTTACAATTCTGTTAAGTAACCCCTGGCAAACATAATATAATATACATCTGACACCTGGGAGAGGGGTCTCGAAGCTTGCTTCAGAAAGACTGGAGAGTGATGTATCCACAATCAGAACACCAGACGTAAAATACATGCAAAGTGTTTAAAAAAAAAAAAAAAAAAAAACGTAATCAATGTACTGAACAACTGAACTGTGATTTCTAAACAATAAAAATACTGACCAAATACATACAACTATCTCACATGCAAAGTATATGGATTCCACATGGTTATCTGACTTTCAGTGTCAATTAGGTTCACATGCAAACTGCAACATATACGCCACCTACTGACAAAAGCTGGTGTTGCAAGTAACATGGAAGAAAAAAAAATACAGACTTGGCAAGCTGCTGCTTATAGTATTTGGCTTCTTTCACACAGGCATCGGCATATTTTCTGTATGCAATGCAGGTTCTTGCTAGCAGAGAGTCCCATAGGAGGGTGTCACATAAATCCAGTGAATTCTTCTCCACCACTCCTGAGGAACAGTTGAATTTCTCACTCACCAGAAGGTGTTGACCCTCGCTTGGTGGTCAAATAACACTAGGTAATCAAATGGGTGAATTTCCAAATGCAGGCTCTCAGATGATGAATCTCCAAGCTCCCCTTCTAATAATGGCTCTCCAAAAAAGCTCAAATAAAATGAATTTCAAAAAAATTGCTCTAAGTGTAATATTTAAGAATCATGGTTCAAATGTTGAATAAAAATGCACTCACATATTAAGGTGCCTGTATCCTGGCACCAGTCTGTGCAGCCAATATATATGCATCAATCTCGCTGTGGGAAGCCGGGGTGCGCACCAAGCCTCGCTTTAGCGGGCTGGATGTGACATCATGTGGGACCTGGAAGCGACGGGATAACGCTTCAACATACGTTTCACCTGGCAGCATCTTTGGGAAGTTTTTTTTCCCAACCTTTAGCCCTGCTGCGGGAAAGTAGCAGGGCTCACCTGTCAAGTGAAAGCATTCGGGCGGCTGCGTTGCTACCCGATTGCTTTCACACAGCCTACAGTGCCAGCCTCCCCCCCCCCCTCCACGTGAACCTGCCCACAGACGAGTCTGCTCCCCTTCTCCTTGTCCTGATCCGGAAGTGACGTTACGTCATTTCTGGGTCCCCGTTGACAAAATTCCCGGCCACAGAGGCTGGGAAAAAAATGTAATGCAGTGTGATCTGCACTGCATTACATTCAGTGAAGCACAGGGGAGACATCCAGGGTCTTTTAGACCTTGGATGTCTCAATAAAGAGAACCTGTCACCAAAAATCATATGGTGAAAAAAAAAGTTAAAAAAAAAGTTAAAAAAAAAAAAAAAAAAAAAAAAGTTACAGCCAAGCACATAACATCCCCTCAAAATAAATAAAAATTAATAATTTGAGCCCCCCCCCATATAAGCAGAAACTTAAAAGAACGCTGGGGCGCCTACGCATGAAAACATCAATTGCAATACACGTTACATATCACCACGCACGCCAGAATGAAAGCAATAATTCTAGCACCAGACATCTTCCGTAACACTATACTAATGACCTATAAGGGGCTTTAAGCGTGTTGACTATAGAAAATAAAGGGTACTGAAGTTCATCGCCATTTCACGGGTGCACACAAATTTAAGGTTTGACATGTTTGATATCAGTTAACTCAGAGAAACCTCATTTTTTAGATCTTACAAAAAAGAAAAAAAAAAAATAGGGTAATTTATTGCTTTTTTTGTGCCCTAAAATTAACAAGTGTATTTTTTACTGACATTTTGCAGTAATATCATGCGACAAAAAATTGGAACTACCACTATTTTATGCTCTAGGGCAGGGGTATTGAATTAAAATTCAAGGAAGTTCGGTCATTAAAATTTTGTTCTGGACGAGGACCGAATAGGGTGTGCCCATCAGTGTGCCCCCCTTACATTAGGTGTCGCCATCAGTGTCCCTTTACATCAAGTATCCCCATGACATGGCCACCTTACATCAGGTATTCCCGTCAGAGTGCCCCCTTACAAAGTACTCCCCTTTCCAACACATGTGCCCATCAGAGAGCTCCTTTCCACAGTATGTGCCCATTAAGATAAAATGTGCCCATCAGAGTGCCCCTTAACATGAAATGGACCTGTCAGCGTGCCCCTTAACACAAAATAAGGGGCATGGTGATGGGCGCATTTATATTGAGGAGCACTCTGAAGGATATATTTTATGTCTCCTAGATTGTAAGCTCGAAAGAGCAGGGCCCTCAATCCCCTCATGTTTTGCATTGTATTGGTATTGTTCTGTCACATGTTCTGTCCCCCTTTGTAATGTACAGCGCTGAGTGAACTATTGGCGCTTTTATAAATACTGTATAATAATAATAATGTTAAGGGGCACTCTGATGGGCACATTCTACGTTGTACCCATCAGAGTGCCTTTAAGACTACACTCTACCTTGAGGGCAGACAGGAGCTGTGCCGGGATCCTTGCTGCACACTTGTGTACAGGCAGGGAGCGGGAGAGACAGTGAGCTGAAAAGGGGCGGGGCGCACAAGTGATGTCATGTTGCCGTGGTGACCACCCTGCTCAGTGGCGGATCTGTCACTGCGGGCTGCACTGCTGGGGCCATTCGCGGAACGCGGTCTGCCATTTAGTGACTGCTGCTCCAGGGTCTCGGCTTTCAAAAAATATATCATGTTTGGGATTTTGTGCAATATTCAGGCCTAAAATGAGGTTTTAAACTTGTGCAAAAAAATGGGATAAAGGATAAATCCAACACTCCCCTTTCAGGACGAGCACCCAATCAGTGCTCATTACACTGCAAGGTCTCTCTCCTCTCGGCTAGTCCTCGGGTGCGGTGCTGGAGAGAAGAAAGGATGGGAGGAGGAGATAAACAGCGCTATGTTAAAAATATTAAATGTTTAAGTCACCATAAAGCCTCTTTTAATTTTAAAAGCCCCAGACATTGCTAAAAGCACCTCAGATTTAAATACGGTTTTAGTTAAAAAAAAAAAAAATAAATAAAGTTTTCTTCATCTGGAAGAGTAGATTGTCATGAGGGACAAGTAGATTGGGATCCCAATTTAGTCCCTGGACAAATAGTTTTTTAAAAAATGTCCACACCCCTGGATGAGAAAACTCAACCGCAGTAAGATATCTGAATGGTGTAAATGTTTCACAGATGGCCATATGTTCGTCAGTGACAATCCCGGCCGTGGTGGTTCCCAGCCCACTGCAGTCATTCTTGTGAACATTCAGCACATGTGGAATGCCTGATCCTGGATGGATAGATGCATAACCTGTCGTCAAAGTGCACAAAAGACAAATCTTTCTGTGGAAATGGTGAACACAACCATTAACAAACATTTGCATTTTCAAAAAGTTAGCACACACTGGGTACCAAGACAGTGAATATTACTGCCGTATTCTGAGTGATGTACATAAGTATCTGCGAGAAAAAAAATTGCCCGATTTGATCACTAAGGGCGTCCTGTGTCTCCAGGACAACACAGGAGCTCATACTGCTTACTGCACTACATGCACATTACATGCACATTACAGCAACTCGGCTGGGAGGTATTGCCACATCCCTTTACAGTCCCGACCTCGCTCTGAGTGATTTCCACCTATTTGAACCCCTAAAAGAGAGTTAATCAGAGGTCAGCATTTCAGCACTGATGACGAAGCGAAGCAGGCCGTCTTCGGAAAGTTAAGACGTACTGACAAATCTTTCTATGCCGCAGCTTGCCAGGCATTAGGCAAATGCTGGTATAAGTGTTGAAATGTAGCAGGGGAGTAAGTCACAATGTAAATGCAGTTTCCACTTCTTGAAATGTATTCTTTTACTATATATAAAAAGTCTCGGTTTGACTTGAACGCCCCTCGTAGCAACCAAATGTTTGCTTTTGCTCTGATAAGATACTGCTTTAGGCAGATGGCAATGATCTGTAAAAAACACTCTTAAGGCAATGCAGACAGATATTTTGAAAAAGGGTATTACCAGTGTAGTTAAGCAAATTATACATATAAACTGTACTCACAGCTGTCCATCCTTCCGCGTGTAAAAGCCGACAGACTTAATTGTTGCCACAACCACAACCATGCAGAGGGTAACTGGTACAAAGAGCATGATGACATGTTTGGCACCGTATTTTAATGTAAGCTCCTCATCTTCTTCCTCATCCTGTTCTAGCACTTGCTGGGAGCTACTTTGCGTCTGTCCATTGCTCTGAGATTCACTGCGTTCATTATTTCGCCTTTCATGGCCATCATTCTAAAATAGAGCAAACCAAGACCATTTTTTAAATAGGAGCAAAATAAAAAAATAAAAAAAATATAAAATTAAATAAAATTTAAAAAAAAAAAAAAAAAAAAAAAAAAAAAAAGGGGGGGGGGGGGGGGGGGGGGTACAAATATATAATATTATAAGCACTCTGGTAAAGTCAAAGGTCATAGCAATGTGTAAGGTCAAAAGTCATAGACGCATGTATGTGACATTATTTGAAAAGCATCTACAATGTAGCTATTCCAATCAAAAGTACATAAATTAAACTTCAGCCTGTTTTGCACAGCTGTACAGGCTCTTCTGCAATACTGAAATTACTTACTCTGATTTCACTGCACACAGCGTGCTTTTCACAGAGTGCATTAGAAGCTGCAACAAGTCAGACAAAGCCCCCCTTCATGTCCTAGCTGGGGAATATCCAGCATGATCTAATCCTTTCCTTCCCAGTCTTAGGTTATGTTTATGCCGCAATCCTCGCATTCAGTGTGTGCGATTTTGAACACACACTTACCTGCATTTATAATGCACTTTTTGGCATTTTATTTTAATGGGTTGTATTCATATGCATCTGCAGTGTGTTTACGTGCGTTCCAGCAAGAAAATGCAGCACACTATTACTTTTTTTTTTTATAAATGCATGTGAAAGCACTGCAATGGTGTAAACTAGAATCACTGAAATACATTCAATTTTCTAGCAGATGTGTTCGTACTTTATTTTAAAACACATTCAACGGCACATGGTGTAAATGAGCCCTTACTGTCCATGGCCATTGGAAAAAAGGAGAAGCCCCATAACACTTCGACTTTAAGGGCTTAGAAAGTACTGGAAGTATTAAAAAAGTATACATTTTATTGTCAAAAAAGGTTATAACACAAAGACATACAATACATCATATCGAGTCATAATAAAGCATCAGAAAATGAAATTACATGAGGATACCCAATATGACTGTTTGACTGGTCATAAAAGATACAAAAAACACATTTATAATCATTTATTGCATTTTTTTCGTGGAGTGACTGTAGTGTTTTGTACCTTCGTCCCCCTCCCCCTTTCTTTTGGGGGTGTCTGACGAATTTCCATCAAATACAACTTTGAGGTGGTGTGTGCTGACTTGGAGGTCTATACACATGCTCCTTTATTCCAATTGTTGTCTTGGGGATGTTGGCTTATAATCAGGATTTTTTCCCTTCCTTGCTGTCCATGGCCAGCCTCTTTCGTTCATTGGATTTCAGTTTCTTTAATCATAGAGGCTCCCTGCATGCAACAGGGCTGAGGGCTCCAGCCAATGTAAATATGTATTAAATATCATACCTGGAGTTCAGTGCTCCATTAACATGTTGATGAGGGAGGAAATAAATAAATTGGGAAAAGGAAAAAGTAAGCAGATTGAATATTACCTTTAGTTTCCAATGGATTTTACTAAGTAATTTTTACAACAACGGGTAGTACAAGCAAACGATGTACCATCACACATACAAACATAAGGCACTAGGAACAACAAGGTGTACCATGAACAACTGACGGTTTAAGGCAAAACGTTTAGTACAACCAAACCGGGAGCAGGTGTCTTTCGCCTCGTCAATATATAAAAAAACAATACAGAACAGGGGAAAGGAAAAAAAAAAAAAAGCAAATAAAAGAGTGGAAGAGAGGGTCAAGATGGGAGATATTAAGGCACAGAGATGTATTAAATCCACGGGTTTCATACACTATCAAAATTTCTTCGAAGCATTTTGCAGGATACAGGTAAGCTTGTCATTAACCATAATCCAGTTTAGTTTCTTTTTAGCATAATCAAGTGAAATAGCCGATTGCTTCCAATGTCTAGCTATGGTGATTCTCGTTGCCAGAAACATGTAAGATCAGCTTATGGGATTTCTCGGGAACATTATCAAGGAATTTATGAAACAGCGCTGTCTCCAGGGATCTGCGTATATTTACTCCCGCCACTGAATTTACCAAGTTAAACATGCAAATCCAAAATCTAATTGCAAGTGGACACTGCCACCAGATGTGTTACATAGACCCCACCCAGCCACAGCGCCTAAAACACATCGCGGAAGCAGACAGATTCATCCTCGCAATCAGAGTAGGAACCAAATACCATTTCAACAAAGTTTTATAATCTGCTTCAATTAGGGTAGTATAGAAATTTTTGATAGTGCAAAAGCAGTATCTTGCCAATCCGATAAATCATAATTGACAGCTAAATCACTTTCCCAGTGGTCCATATAAGGGAGTTTACAAAGCGGATCAGTGAGGAGAGCATATATTACAGAGATACAGCCTTTTGGAGAAGCCCTATTCCAGCAAGAACGGTCAAAGGCAAAGCACAGGCGATTCATCCAATAAAGCAAGCATTAAGATAGTCGCCTATCCGCAACAAGCCTTTATTGATCCACAATTGAAAAGCGGTCAGCTTCAAACCAGGCACAAATTCAGTGTTACAAAAAAAAAAAAAAAAAAACTGAGCTACAGGCGTATGTGTGGAGATTCCAATGATTTATGATGGCGAACACTGTCCCAAACAACAGAGTGGGGCACAGTATAGGAGGGTGTAAGCGATTAGGAAGCCAAAGCAACGCCCCGACAGCGAGATTATGACAAGAGAGAGCTTCGATAGAGACCCAAAGGGGAATATTTCCCCCAGCGGTGGTGTAAGCCAATTGGGCGATTTGTGCAGCCTGGAAGTACGTGTGCTCCTACAATTCCTTCCTGATCCCCCGAGAGGCAATTGGATATTTCCTGGATCAACTTTACCTATAAATGTTAGTATCCAGTTATATTCTGTGTATCTAAGAAAGAATCCAGGCCTTTTTTAAAGCAATCCACTGAGCTGGCCAGGACAAACTCTTGAGGGAGTCTATTCCACATTTTCACAGCTCTCACTGTGAAGAAACCTTTCCGTGTTTGGAGATTAAATTTCTTTTCCTCCAGACGTAAAGAGTGCTCCTTTGACCTCTGTGGTGACCTCAGGGTGATAGCTCTACATCAAGTTCACTATATGAACCACTGATGTATTTATACATGTTGATCATATACCTCCCTTAATCTCCTCTTCTCAAGAGAGAATACATTCAGTTCCTCTAACCTTTCCTCATAGCAGAGCTCTTCCGTGCTTTGTATCAGTTTGGTTGCCCTTCTCTGTACTCTCTCTAGTTCTCCAATGTTCTTTTTGTGAATTGGTGCCCAAAACTGAACTGCATATTCCAGATGAGGTCTCACTAATGATTTGTACAGGGTAATATGATATCGCTCTCTCTCTGGAGTCTATACCGCTTAATACACGAGAGGATTTATTCGCTTTAGAAACCGCAGCTTGGCATTGCATGCCATGATTAAGCATGTGATCTACCAGAACTCCCAGATCCTTCTCCACCATTGATTCCCCTAGTTGTACCACCCCCTAGTATGTATGATGCATGCATATTCTTAGCCCCCAAGTGCAGAACCTTACATTTATCAACATTAAACCTCATTTGCCACATAGTTGCCCAATTACACATTGGATTGAAGTCAGCTTGTAAATTAAAGACATCCTGTAAGGACGTTATTCCACTGCACAGCTTGGTGTCATCTGCAAAGACTGAAATGGGATTTTTAATCCCAGACCCTAGATTGTTTATAAATATATTAAAAAGTAAGGGTCCCAACACTGAACCTTGGGGTACACCACTGACAACCCTAGACCATTCAGAGTATGAATCATTAACCACTACTCTCTGAATACGATCTTTTAGCCAGTTTTCTATCCATTTACATATAGATTTTTCCAACCCCGTATACTTTACCTTACACATCAGCCATGTGTGGGGAACTGTGTCAACGCTTTTGCAAAATCCAAGTATACCACGTCCACCTCCACCCCTCTGTCCAAGTATACCACGTCCACCTCCACCCCTCTGTCCAACGTTTTGCTCACCTCCTCATAAAAAGAAATCAGATTTGTTTGACAACTTCTGTCTTTCATGAATCCATGCTGTCTGTTGCTTAAAATATTTTTTATTAAACTCTCCAGTATCTTCCCAACAATAGAAGTTAAACTTACAGGTCTATAATTACTTGGTAAAGATTTTGACTCCTTTTTAAATATTGGCACCACATTGGCCTTACGCCAATCCAGTGGTACTATTCCAGTCATTAAAGAGTCTCTAAAAATCAGAAACAATGGCTTTGAAATGACAGAGCTCAATTCTTAAAGGACCCGTGGATGTATGCCATCCGGTCCAGGTGCTTTATTCACCTTAATTCTGTCTAAATATTTTTGGATCCTATCAATTGTGAGTCAATGTGGATCATCTGGAGTTGTGTGAATACCATGCCCATTATGGAAAAGAGCTCCCCATCTAGGGATTAATCCATTGTCAAATTTAGCAGAAGGATTGAACTACTAAAAATCTCTTGTGTAGCTTTAGCCTATTCAAGTGGCTGCCAGCAAATAAATGTTTCAGTAGCAACGACATTAAAAGGATAAGTTCACCTTTTGGACAAAAATAATAAATGCACCTTTTTTGCAGGTAAAAAAATCGTGCATTTATTTTTGTCCAAAAAGGTGCCTGGAAAGAAATGCACCAGCAATCAGTAGATCGCTGATGCCATGCAGATCTCCTGCAGACCTGGCAGAATAATCTGCTTGCCGTACGGGATGTTCGAGCAAGCAGATATTCTGACAGGAAGCTTCAATGAAATGCCACGGCGCTCCACAGCGCCAAGGTAGTTAATTGAAAACCCACAAGCCCACAGCCGCTAAGGATGTCAGGACTTCCAGTTCATTCACAGAAGTCTGTGAATGAATAGTGCGGCCGTGTGGGTGGAGCCTCGCACGGCCGTGCCGTTTTCAAATTTGACAGATGCTAAGGGGAGAGGGAGGGGGGGGGGCACAGCACGGGACAGCTGCGGCTATGGGAACATGTTACATGTTCAACCCTAAAAACAGGTGGAAAACAGGAACATGTAACATGTTCCATAGGTGAACTTATCCTTT